TCGGCTCGGGGCGGCGAATCCGACACTGCCCGGGATGGTTCCCCGGGCGTCTTTGGAAGATTTCCTCCTCGACAACAAAAAAAAATGCTAATATCCCACAGTACGGAGTCCCTCGTTAAATAGAGGGACTCTGTACGCTAGGGTCCGGCGTCCCAAGGACCCCCCGTACTCCTCGGAGTGAACCATCCTTTTGCAGGATGGGGAATCAATACGCCGGTAGGAGAAGGTAACTCCGACTGCAAATCCCGGTGGCACGGCACCGTTAGAGAGAGGTTTGCTCTCTCACCATGCGAGGAGTGGTGGGCGTCCACCATGGTCCGTGGATCTCTGGGGGGACTCCCCCTCTCCCTTCAGGGGGGAGGGGGGGGGCTTCCTCTTGGGGCCTCACGGGCCAAAGAGGCGACGCAGCCATAGGCTGCAGGCGGGCTCTGGCGACAGCCATTGAGCCCAAGCCAGAGTAGGGTCGCGAATGTATAGAGTGGGCTTGCCCACATTGCACCCATACATTCACCATCAGGCTTGCTCAGTGGGCGGTCGTTTTTCATAAACGACTGCCCATTGCACACTGGGTGTCTCTGATGGAGACGCGGTTGGAGGGCAGGACTCCGTGCCGCCGGGGGCGGGCGGGGGCTTGTCTTAAAACCGTGGGGGAGGCGATGGGGACCTACAGAGGAATCTGTGGGAACCCCCATGCCTCTCGGAGAGGGGCTCCCCTGGGAAACCAGGGGCCCCGTTTCCCGGGCCGCGTGGACGTATTCCGCGGCGGGGCCGGAAAATTTTTTCGGAAAGTAGTGCCCTGTCTGCGGGCAGGGCACTCTCAGGGAGCACTCAGGGCAGCAATGCCCATTGCACCGAGGACTCCCTGATCCTGGGTTCGGGGGTTCGCCCGCGCGACGTCAAGCGTTCCGTTGCGCGGGCGAATTTCCCCGTTGGTGTATAGAAGAGGGGTGGGGGTCGTCCCCCGTGGCATAAAAAGCGTTTGCTACGGGGGTCGGGCCTCGCCGGTGGGGGGCGGACTCCCGCTCCCCAAGTTATAGTAGAC